AACATAGGATAATAATGCAAGTGTTCACAGTGAAACCCTGTATGAATAAACTTCTGTATTCTATGGTTTCAGGTGCCAGCCTCAGCAGGTAACCAGCACGCTGGCAACCTGCTTTCACTGTGTGCGTACCCTGTCTCTTATACACATCTAGATGTGTATAAGAGACAGCATCCGCGTCCTCATCCTTGTACTCGTTGCGACTGCGACTCTCATCCTCCGTGTCACTGAAATGTTCCTTCCTTTTATACTCTTTTCATATCATATATAAAACAAAATATTTATAATGAAATGTTCCCCTATTTTAGACTCATTCATATCATATAACGTACACAACAAAATATTTATAATGAAATGTTCCTCTATTTCTGTCTCTTATACACATCTAGATGTGTATAAGAGACAGCAAAATAACGATGGAGCAATATATTAATGGTAACAGAAATCNAGGGGCCACGGCTATAAACTAAAAAAACAGCGTTGGAACACATCCATGCGACAACATTTCTTCTCGCTTCGAGTCACCGACATGTGGAACAGCCTCCCTGATAGCATCTTTGACGCTCCGAGTCTGAACGCCTTCAAGAACAGACTAGACGAAGGAGCACATGTTCAGTCTTAAAATGCCTAGTAAATTACGGACCAGGCAATAAGTCCAGCAGCAATCTCAATCAATCGTCAGTTATGGAAAGATCGGGTTCCAAAGGCCGGATCCCTTGTGAATCAAGTCACGAAAAATTCAAGAATCGGCAACAGGCCATGGGCGAATCTTCGTCAAAGGTTTTTCACCCAGCGTGTGGTGGAGAGGTGGAACAGACTGCCAGCACAGGTGGTGGAGGCTCCAGCGTCGATGCCTTTAAGAACAGACTGGACAGTGTTATGCGGGACCTTGTCTACAGTGTAGACGAGCTTCCCACCTTTATTAGAGCTGATCAAAGGATCAGCAGTCAGTATGGACCAAGAAACGAGTACCAGGCACAACAGAATCGGCAACAGGCTGTGGAAGCCTAACATCTGATGCCGAGATCGCTATGCTATGCTATGCTATGCCTATTTCTTCTGTGCCGACACGTCTATTCTATTCTATGATGCATGCTAGCAGTTAAGTAAAATAAAAAATCTGCAATAATGTATTTTTTCTATTGGGCTTCTAAATTTACTGGTTTTGGAGCTAAATAATTTTTGATTTGGAAAATTAAAATCATGCTTGAACCGTAATTAAACTAATCCATATTATTTTTTACTTCACCCCCACATTTCTAAACGCCACATTGGTTGTGACGTATGGGGTTATTCCGAGGTGGACTTCTCGTGTCTAGTCACCCACAAATATGACCTCTTTTCACAGAGTCAGTGTGTCAGCACTGCACGGCAGGTTTTCCCAATAAAATTCCCAACTGAGTATACTGATAACTGAATCACCGCAGCCTTTTAAAGGGAAATGGCCTCTGTTCCGCCACTTATTTGCTTCAGGAGTACATTCGGTTGTTGATCTACTTAGTCTTTAATGGAACATCCGTAATAAATGAATAGTCGCTGTCTCGCCAGTCTCGGTGACATTCGGTGCTGTTGGAACTAGAATTCTGTCCAAGAATTTTCATCCACCATAGAAGGACAGCTGGACAGTCTGGACTCTGGACAAGGATGTAGGTAGTACCTGCGTCTTAACGGTCTTGTCGGTGTCTCGGTGACTCCGTGACGGTGTCAGTATGACTGGGTTTAGTGGGTTACAGACTTACAGTCAAACGTGATTGGTGATTTAAAGATAATAAAAGATTGAAACTGAAATTACAAATAGTAGAACTGTGGAAGCTAAGAACTTAAGAAGTAATCCCTTTGACATCTTTAAGTTATCTATCATGTCATTGATGTCAATTATCATGATGTGTATATTGTTATCTCACTAGTCTGGAAAAGTCCTATTTTTGTCTGAAATATCGCGGCTCTAAAATCATATAATTTCAGTAGGTATGAAATCTTGCGGCTCGAATGTCATAAATTTTTGTTTGATTAAAAAATCGCGGTTTGCACTTCGCAAACATGTCATTTCATAAAATTTTCAACTTCCGCAATCCGCATTGCTTTACCGTTTCTGCCAAAAATATCTTGTAGAAAAAACATAAACATCGTAATGTAAACAAATAAACAAAACGTTTGTTGAAGATCGCGCATAGTTGCAGTCTAGTATGGAATATATCTACTTGGCAAGCCGCGACTGAATTTTTCGAGCCGTGGTTTTATGGATTTGCCAGCCGTGATTCCATTTCTACGAGCCATGATTCTATTTCACTGAGCCGTGAATTCCATATCTTGGCCATGAAAAGCCATTTACAAGGTGCGAATGCGAATTTATTTACAAAGTTTATGCACATGTTACCCCAAATCTCTAATTTTACCCTTAAACAGTCAAACGGCAACAATAAAATGTGGCATGCATTGTCTCTCTTTGGATCTCAATATTTTCCCACTAGATGGCCAAGACCTAGTGTTTTTGCAGTATTTCAACACGCAAATGTATGATGTCACCATTTCAACCATCAATGAACGCATGGAACTAAAACAAAGCTTAATATAAAGGAAAAACTAGAGAAGTGACGGAATTACCTACGATGTCGGAATATACCGCGTTTACCCTACATTGATGATGGAACTAAAACAAAGCTTAATATAAAGGAAAAACTAGAGAAGTGACGGAATTACCTACGATGTCGGAATATACCGCGTTTACCCTATATTAGGAGTCATTTAAGTATACTTGTATTTGCTGATTTTAAGTCATAAATAAATTAATAGATGATTAAGTTAAGAGATGGTTTTAGACACATAAAAACTAATTCTGACACAGCTTGGAAATAGACACACACAGCTCATTCCGAGCTGTGTGCAAAAATTGAAATTTTCTTAATTAAAAACTTGATAGCTTTTAATTGGAAGCCTAATTAAGTAGTGTTCAATATTCAATAGTGTTCTAGTTCCAAGCTGTGTTGTATTCCAATACAGCTCACACAGGGATTGGAATTCGAACATAAGAGTGTCAGAATTACGAATTAGTAGAGTTTGAAGCGCAGCCAGAATATGTTACAAAAATGCCAAATTTAGTCACACAGCGTCGGAATATATGGATTTGGTAGGTTTGCATTCTAAAGGCTTTCAAATAAATACGGCAACATTTTGTGTCGTTTCATTGTTGCTGGCGCGTAGTGCGGTGTTTTGACTTGAAGCAAACAGAACTCGAGTTGCGCATACGGTGATTTTTTTATAGCCATGAATTTTTGCTATGTCCTTAATGTGTCGGAATATACCGCGTTTACCCTACCTAGGCCTAGCAGTGCTAGCTCACTACACTAGCACATGCATGTAAAACATATAGGTACATTAAGGGCTGCAACTGGTCAGTTGAACTAGAGCATTCCTGCCATGTAATCTTCCTGCCATGTAATCTCCTGCCATGTAATCTAGTTGTTAACTAAAGTGCAAGATCAGACTGCAAGATTACAAATGCGTTAAAAATTTGTCATGTTGGAGCCATGAGATTTCAGAAACAAGTAGGAAAATTTCAATCCTGCACTAGCACTCAAATTAGAGGAACAGCCCAAGCGCCCAAATTCCATAGTGTCAGTGCAGAAACTTATTTAGATTTATCCCTAATTCATTTTTGAGTTCTATAAGTACCTAGTTACAGTGTATGCAGAAAGTAATTTTTTTACTTGGATCTTGTATTTCTTAATGGAAGTAATATTTGAAAAGAGACATTTTTCTAGTAATCTACCATCAAATGGACTAATAAGAGATGCTTTTTTTTTGCTGAAAACTACTTACCATGGATATGAAACATTTCTTAAACAAGTTTGGGCTCATTTGAAAGGTCTATGCAAGGGCTATCTGTTATTGTATGCCATTTCTCGAAAAATTCCATATGCCATTTGTAAGGTGCTAGAAGCAGAAAAAAATATAACTCGGTACTCACTGCAGTAAGTGACAGAGAGCGCATTTTCTCGTCAATGAAAACTTGAGGTCACGGACAGACAGACGGACATGGCGAGCACAATAGTGCATTTTTTACATAAATGAGAAAATGCGCTAAAAAGGGTCTTAAGTAGTTGAGTTACCCCTTGGAACAGGGTTTTATGGGAATAATGGGACACTTGAAATAAAACTTGATGAAAAATAGGACACTTGAATAAAACTTGAAATAAAACTTGATGGAGCATGCACTGGAGAGTGTTCTGTGTACTTGTATCCATTTCTAACATGGTGTCATTCTAAACGAGTAAAATGACATGTGCCAAGGTAATTGTAGAGGACAGTTGCCAAAAATAGGACGCACGCACACTCCAATAGGATTGGGTCATCCGGACGCTCCATAATTGAGCTGGCCGGCAGCAGCGGCAGCGTGCTTAGTAAAGTATGTGGTATCTACTAGAAGCTCTTGCTCGACTTCTAAATTGGTTGCACCAACTTCCATCAGAGGCATAACATCATTCTGCATAGCCAATTTTAAAGTTGTCTGCTCAACCTCATTGTAAGTTGTAACACATCATCTGTCAGTACTGTCATACTTGAATTGTAATGGCAACAGCTCTACACAAGTGTCAAGCATATGAGCCTCTCATAATTTCTTGGAATAGATATTCTTCAATAAATTTGAAATTCTCAGAGATTTGTCCCTGCATTTTCACAAAGTGTTTTCAGGGGCAAAGTTTTAGCTAAATTGCCTATAATCTTCAGACTGTCTCTTGTTTGTTTTGATCAATTCAGCCATCAATGTGGGAATCTTTCCCTTCTCTTTGCAGTCAATAAATATTTTCATTTCTGCACAGCAGATGAGTGAAGCTCAGTCACTTTCTGTTATGCAAATGTAACTGAAAACTTGATTTTGTGAGATCTTATTAGAATGCTGAATAGGATTTGAATTCCTTATTCTAAAACTTGCCAGTTTCAACAACTTTCAAATTATTTTGTGCTGTAAATTTTTATAAATCCATTCTGAATTTTTCTTCACAGGTTCAGTCCAATATGAAAAGAAATCGATGTTCAGTTCATAATTTGCTCAAACGATCTCTAGGTTTTCCGTACCAACTCTCATGGACAGAAGATGAATATGTCAGTCCCCCTCCTCCCTCACTAAACAAACCATCCTTTGAGCCTGCAGAAGGAGAACAAGGCCATTATGGGGTCCCTGAAACTATTGAATCAATCCCCATCTTTCACAATGGCTTTGTCCCTAAAAGTAAAGATTTGCCCACAATGAAGAGTTCATGTCCAACTGTGAAGAATACCAATGCATCAAATTCTAAAGCTTCTCGAGGAGTTGGTGCCACTGGGACCATTGGCTACATATTACCATTGGTGGAAAAACCTGTGTGTAAGCCTTGCCTTCCAAGAATCATAAAAAGTAATGCATTTAAATGCTTTGAATTGCAATGCCCAATCAAAATAAATAAGGTGAGTTTATTGTTCTTGATTTCTGTTGTGTTTATGTAGCAAATACAGTGCACAAATTTAAATATGTTATTCAAATATATTATTTAATTGATATAAATTGTCAAATTTTTGCTATTCAAGATTGCTTTCTATTTAGATACTACCTTGTTGAAGTTTTTCTTCGTCACTCTACAACTTCGTTATTTAAACAACTCCATCAGATATTTTGCTGTGCGTGGATCAGTGACCATGAAGTCATCATGGGCACCAAGTGTCATCAGCTTATCCTCTACGATTCAAAGCTGAATTTGTTCAGAAAAATTCCAGAACTGACACCCTGTAACGGATCAACCTCCGACTGTCCTGGTATTCGTTGTGTTAAATGTAATCCTAAAGGAAACCTTCTGGCAACTGTTGGACGCTGTGGCAATCAAGTTACCCTCTATACTTTGCCTTCCATGAAACATCTCTTGGTGGTCACCGATAATGAATACTCCAACTGGATATTTGATATGTGCTGGCTATCTGACTCCAAGCTAGCTGCTGCTGGCAGGGAAGGACGTGTAAGCATATGGAATTTCGAATCCCTGTTTATGCCGTCTGAAGAAAACTTACGTACCACCAATTCAATCCATGCCAGTAGTAAGAACTTGTCTATTGTTCAAGACATAAAATCATCTTATAGTGACGATCATTCAACTGACATGACACCCCCAAAGTTCTGCGAAGTCTCCTTCAAGCCAGCAGGCCGAGCTCGAGCAGTCGTCTACAATGGAGCTGACACTCTGTTTGTCCTGAGCACATCTGGATCTGTGTATTCGTACAACACTGTCACATGCGACTGTAACTGGAGGATGTCCATTCCTGGAGGCTCTGACAACACGTGCATGGCATACTGCACTAACCTCAAATTACTGGCTGTGGGCTCGGCATCTTGTGTTTTCTTCATTGAGGACTGTGGGGCTTTTCCGCATATTTCCGAGGTGAGTTTTGTTGCTCATTCATGCGTGAGGATGTGATTCATCAATGCGAAATTGATCATATAAATTGATAGCCAATTTTGCAGAGTTGCTCTAGTCTAAGTTACGGTTGAACTAATTTCCTATTTGCTATTGAAACATTCCAACTGTGGTGAGAAAATCAATGGAGAAGGTTCAATGTCGAATCATTTTGGCCATACTAAAACACCCACTGTAATGACTACCATGAGCTCATGTTGATTGTAGCAATATTTGAATAATTGATGAAATATTTGAATAAGTATCGCAGTTTTTCCTCCTGTTTGATTATAGGAATGATAAATCTAATCAATACTAGCAACAACTGTATACTGTATAATGAACATGCTTGATCGCGGGACGAAATTTATGCCGATGTCACTTGTTCCCTCAAGAACATACGAATCTGCCGTGGTGACATTGCTCTCGTATGATGAAACTGTCAATGCCAACAGTAGAAGATTTTGTCGTTGGGTTCATGGTTTCCATACACGGAGATTCTTGATTCCTTAGCCGATGTGTGACATGAATTTAAGATAAATTTTCTTTCCCAGGTGGAACTTCCGACGGCTGATAACCTCTACATTCGATCTCTTGCTTTCCATGACCAAACTCTCAGTATTGGGACTGGTGCTGGTCAGCTCCTCTTCGTTGATCTCAGTGAGTTTTGGAGCGGCAAGATGGCGTATTACCGCACCAGATACTTATTTCCTCGCTCCCAACATCCTGAGCGCGACCAAAGACTTCTAGGACATGTAGATCCTAGGAGAACTGTGTTCAGTTACGTCCCTGCCATGGAAGGCGAACAGTTCTCTGATCACCTTTGCGATCCAGAATTGTGTTTACGAATAAACAAAATAGATGTTTTTGACCGGCCACTTGAAGAAACGTTTTTCACGATCACGAACTCTTTGCAGAAGAAGCTTGGTCGTAATTATGTCACCAAAGAGGTGGAACAGCACTATGAACAACTCGACGCTCAATGCCGTGGTGACGAGAGTGAATTCATTGCTGTTTATAGCCGCCGAAAAATAACATTTTTCGAATCTTGCACCTTCCTCACGGCCGCCGAAGATCGAGCGCACTTGGTGTCTACGGACAGCAAAGCTGTTTATGCTCAGAGCTACAACCCCAACACGGGACAGTTCTTTGTAGCAGGAGGGCCTATATCATTGATGAACGAGGGTGCCTTCTGCGCTATTCTTCGGTGATGTAACCTTCATGTAGCCAAAAATTTTCAGTGACGTTCCATTTTCGCATGACCACAAAATTTCTGGTGATAATTCATTGGAAAGTGACAAGAAATCTTGTGCTAATTTTCATTTGAAACTGACCAGAAATCTTTTGCCAATTTTCATTTGAAACTGATCAGAAATCTTTTGCCAATTTTCATTTGAAGTGACCATAAATATTCAGCAATGTTTCAAATAACGTCATTCAAATCCTTAGTGACGTGTGACGTCTCATTTTTATATGACAATAATTGTTCGCCGATGATTCATTCTCACGTGGCTATAATTTTTCAGTGATGCTTTATTCTCACGCGTCGGTGAATTCCTTTATTTGCATCGACTGATGATCATTGGTGATATCTCTGGTAGGTTAAGGAGTAACTTAATGCTATTAAAAGTTCATACTATAATATTCGCTACAAATTTTGTATACCTAACGCGTGACCCACAAAATGTAACGCTACGCTCATTGCTTGCAACGTATAAAGCTCAATTTTTTATGAGAGGCGCCGCCTCAATTTCCGTTTTATGTAATATTTATGACAGACCTGCGTCGACCTGCTTTTAAAAATTATTTTACGGTTGTTTTTTTACTTTTATGTTACACGGAACTATTGTCGTATATTTGTACTATTTATAATGTCCGAGCGCATCAAAGTTACTTATAACTTGGTAAAGGCACGCACGACAATAAACCAACGTCATCGTTATGTGCCAAAATAAGTGCTTGTTTTGTCTTACACTATCAAATTACTCATGGATGTATTTGCTGAAACTAACAAATAATGATGATGCATTCATTGATGAAATGCATTTGATCTGCTATTCCTTGACCGTGTACCAAATTAGAATGAAGATAAGTCTGATCTGATTCTCTGCAAGATCTGACTCATTGAATCTAAAGACTCCAAATTATGATTCATCATCATGAAGGGGATGAGAGGAAGAAGAATGGTGTAAACTTTCCAATATTGTCCTATTAAACGACCCATTGATATCTGAGTTAGTTCTGCAGTCGTGTCTTCTCGCTTGCCTGCTTTTAAGCCGTTTTAGAACATTGTTCTGAATGCATATGCATAATCCTGGACGCAACGACTTCGTTTGTTTTAGTGTACCGAGTATATATGGACCTCGCTAGTAAACTGAAAGGTAGTGGTTGTGTTGGGTGAAACGCAAAGATCGTTTTAATGTCTTAAATATAAATCGTTTCTATAGCTTGCTCATGTATTGCGCCGGTTTTTATTCCAAATGCAAACCAAACAGGGTATTTATTTATAATAAGCTGTATGAATGAATATACGTGAACATCCAATGCAATGTAAGGGGTTCATTTATAATCAGTTTTGTGAAAGGTAATGGTTGTCAGTCCAAGAGTAGAATTGTACTGCTTGACAGTGAACTGAAAACCATTCGAGATACTGACCAAAGATGTTGTCTCTCTGACCGATGTTAAACGAACCAAATCTGCTTATACTTAACTCTGTGGTAAGCTCCTCTCGTGCTTTTTGGATGTGAGGTAAACAGCCGTAACGGGTCTGTTTTTCAGAGGAAGTTATTATGAGAGTTATAATGGCGTATTTGTATAAACGTGACTTTTGTGACGTTACCGTTGTGGTAATGAAAGCTAGTAAAATCTATTAGTGCATTAGGAATGGCTGGATATAATAAAAGTTTGCTCTGGTATTTTCTTGTTCTGAGGAAGGTAAAAGAATTTCCATTGTTGAGATCTGATTCTGATTCGCTTCCTGGACTTTCGAGATGTAAATTTTTTTTCCTACTCACCATGCTCTTACCCAGTGATATTTTTTGTCGAACCTCGTATGATTTTCTTGACGTTATTATGCTATATAATGTATGACAAGCAACGATGAATATTCTTAGTGTCTTGATACCACGGTGTGAAATATTCGTGTCTATGTAATAATTTTGCTCTACTATATGATGATCGCTAGCCAAAGACGTTCAGGGCCTCCTCCATTTAGGGCACCATGCTTTTCCCAAAAAATATATTTATTTGGATGCAAATAAAGTAACATTTTTTAATTAACTAATAAAAATAACTCGTAATTTTAAGACTTACTTGGACAGAAGTAATATTTCAGTTGTAGTGAGTGTTAACGTCCGGTGAAGATGATTTTTAATAAGCATATTTTGTTAAGCAATATTTTTAATGGTCTCTATTATTCCCTAGTTTATTCTTTAATTAACAAAATTAAGGCTTCAGCTGCGGTTGTGTCGTTTCAGACAAGCTTCGCGCTATTCCAATGAACCTTTGTGATAATTAGTATTTTTATGCATTTATATACCAAGCGCTACACAATTTTTAACTTTAGCCTTTAATTTTTTCCCTTATGTTTCTCGTCTTTCTTCGGATCTCGTTTTCTAGTACCTGATTACACATCAGCAGTTACATTGTATTTCGTGTACTTTTTTCGTACTAGAAAAAATTTTTCATACCAAAGGCTACATGACTATTGCCTGGAAAGTATTTTTTATCTAGTAATTTTGCTCGCGTTTAATGTGTTGTCTCTTGCTTCTATTGGACCATTGATATTCCTCAAAATTCTTCCTGATGAAGAGTCTGATGCCACTCTCGATATGCTGACGAGTGAACGCAAGTTCATTGGATGTTCATGGGTATTGACGATTTTGTATTACTTACGTTGTTTTGCTAGAGTAATTTTATACAGGCTGGAATTCTAGGATAGCGCAAAAAGCTGGGTCATTTTTGGGCGGATGCTTGTCCATCTCTAGACTGTGATTGGGTGTGATGTCATCCACTCCAGACTGTAATTGGTTGTGGGATTGTGATGTTATCTCTCCAGTTTATGATTGATTGTGTCCTATATGCCATTTGTACTTAGTAATTCATTACTCCTCTAGAATTCCGGCCTGGTTTTTATATTATCCAGTTAATATGGACGCTGTTCCATGTTTTTGCTTTTCCAGTTAGCACATTAACTTAGTTTTTTTAGATAAACTAATTAATTCATGCTTCTGAACTAATGTGTTTCGTCGGTTTCTGTGAACGATACTTTCATATCATTTTCCAGATTATGATTTTCCAATTTTATTGTCTTATCCTTGTATTTTCTTATTATGACTTTAGTTTACTAACGTCTTACTTATTACATTTTTCTTGTGACTTTGATTTATTTTGGCTGATTGCGGATATTTTAGTTCCATCCTGTAGGATAATATAGCAATTTGCTGAGGAGAACGTGTGTTCTTTGAAGTTTCTGTCCCGTGACTATCAATCGTATGATGATGTTGACTCAACGTATCCTTGTGACGCGCAAAATTATGGTACGGTTATGGCTGGATCACTAATTTAAAATAATTTGTTGCAGTTTCAAAGATCCGTTTCACTTATTTTTTAAGGAAAAATGTTAAATTGAATGAATTTCCTGGCAAAATACAGTAGAATCTCTTCGGATCATTAGGAAGCTGCTCATTAAAGCGCGCCTTTCTGTTTGGCGTTGATTATGAGTCTCCAAGTCTCTTATGAGCACAAATAAAAGGACTTGTTTTGTCACGAATGTATCTACGAATGCGTAGATAAAATCTAATGGGGTGTTGACGTGTCCATTGCTACGTTTTCTTACTAGAATACCACCACGGGTATCCTTACCACTGTAGCGCAACGGCTACCGCCGCTGTATGCGCAGTGATGACGTCACAGAGATGAGAGAAGCTAGCCGTAGGTGTGACCGTCGGGCAGCTTAGATGATTTCTCGGTGCCGCTGGTGACGGCGCTTGTTCGACGTTGAAAGGTGGCGCTTGCAGCATGACCTTGGTACCTACCCTCAACCAAGACTCGGTTGTGGGTAGGTACCTCAAGGAAGACGCGTCACCTTCAACTATACAAAGTGATAATGCTGCCGATGTACCAATATAAGTATGATGATTCTTCTTCTTCTTCTAGTATGAAAGGTTAGGGCTTTATTTTGTGAGCGGGAGGAACGCAACTGTAAAACGAGTAAATGTTGTATTGTATGTAAGTGTGAAAGCAACTGCGCGTGGTGCATGAGAAGCCCATAAATGCTCTTTGCAATGAATGTCAGCTTGTCGACGTGAGTGAATGACGATGGCATTGATGGAAACAAGTATTGGAGAGTGTATTTGTGCGTGCGTTTGTATGGGCCGGTAGAAAGGTGGATGCGGTGACAAAGAGTAGGATGAATACCTTCGGTATGCATGGGAACATAGATAATAAAATGAAAGTGGCATGTGTTAACTCGTGTCTCGTAAAACTGTGTCTCGTAAAACTGGTTAGATCCCAGCTTGGCATGCCCTTTTTTTCTCTTCCCAGTTTGCACTTTTCGTCCCTCTGATACGATGAATTGAACGAGTGTACATGTATGCTCTTAGAGCTACCTTTAGATAGGATTTATTTTGCGTGGCAGTTGGCTTATCAAATGTTTCACAATTAATGCTTTCAGGTTACAATGCTCCAGATATCTCCCTTGCGCATCATGCAAGAGAGAACGCAATGAAAATTCCGTTGTTTGCATTCCAGGCAAGATTTACTTGATTTGGCGCTTTAACACCCTTATTTTTGTGTACGACCATTCCTTACAAAATAGTAAACTTTATTATAGCTCGTTCGTTAATAAAGAAGCCAGTACAGAACGGCCATTATAGTTCACAGCACGATTATAATATGTCTATATACCCGTATTTTTTCGATTTATGTCAAAATTTAAAATTTCACTATCGGGCGATAGCACAAGTTTGTAATAATCAATTTCTTTCGAGTAAAGTTTATGTCAAGGTCTCCAATTATTATGCCTTAAACTTGATAGAATATTTGCTCTAATTCATGCCGTCAAGCAATTGCGAAGATGGTTCTTCTTACTCTCACGTGAAGATTTCACTCGGTGAAAAAGTGAAATCAAATCAAATAAATAGAAAATGGAATACTACAAAAACGACCCAAAGCACGTACTACTTAAGATATTGGGTGTAGCTCAATCAGCTTAACTTCGGAGCCTGTTATAGCTTTCCTAGCTAAATGTTCCTTAGTAGCCGTTCTCATAGAAACAACTATATTCCTGTCAACGAAATAGCTCTTGTCTTCTATTGCATGGTTTCATTTTACGATTCTTTCATTTAAAGTTACCTTGTTGTCTTCGCGCGGCTCTCAACGTTGTTTTGATCCATTTCCGAATGTGTGATTCTTATTAGAGTTTCCTTCCAGCGAGTTCTGTCATACGTACACATACCCGTTTTATCAACGGTCGAGACAAATATTTCACAGTGCTTCATCTTCTCCATCCCATGTTTCGAGCGAGTTTCACCACATCGTTTTCAGCTCCACCGCATTTGGCGCTGGGTAGGGGGGAGCATGGCTTGCTCGGAGGCTACGGGGGATGTGACGGCCTGGACGTTGTAATTCTCGGCGATCTCCGCGATGTGAGGAGGCGATTGTCGGGCAGAAAATTTGCCTGGTCTCATCTTGGGAACCCGCTGGTAGGAAGCCGTCTACCAATACGAGGGCCACGAGGTAGCCGTAACGGGACTGCCAGGTTGCCTTAATGACTCTTTCCCCAGGAGGGGCGGACACAAGCGAGCAAGAAGGTTGGCCTGGAGCACGCTAGCCAGGAACTGCGAGCAAGCGAGATGTAGGTGAGCGGCAAGAGAAGGAACCCTATCCTTGTGTGCCGGTGGTCATCATGAAGCAGCCGGTGGCGAGTCTCAAAGCAGGGTTCTGCACGACCTGTAGGCTCGTTCACTCCCATCGGATCGCTTGGCTTATCAAGGGAGCTCCAAGATCCAAGACAACACGTAAACCGCGAAGATCCTTGCGCATGATTCAGTTAGATATCAGTGCATGGTGAAGCGAAGCGTCTCACCCAGTGGTTGGTAAATTAATTAATTTCAGTTCATTACCCAGTTGAACAAAGGCGCCGAAACCATGACTTCAGTTTTAGAATGTGAAAAAAGTTCCTTTTTCACAAAAAATTTATTGTTTATTTTCGAATATCAAAATGTTAATTCAATGGATTCCACTCAATTACACTTCCACTCAATTCAACTCAATATGGATATTGAATGGACAAAATTACTGGACGTTCGTCGGCAACAGATGTGCGATATAAGAGGTCATCAACCGTTTACATTGTCGCCGTCGGTCTGTTTGTAAACTGACGAGACCCGAGATCTCACTCTTCCGCCTGGGGGTAATTAAACATAATTTAGTTACGAACAAGATATGAGAATATATGATAAAACATGCACGATGAACAGAGAAAAACTTTGCCATATAGAATAGCTCTGGGTGGCCTATTGGTTAAGATTGCATAGATTAGGGCTGCGAGTTGTAGTTTAAAACCCGTAACTGGTTGTGAAAATAGTTAAATCAGCAGGTGGTGAAGAATCGGAGACAGGACTAAATTCCCTACTCAAAGCCGACACCACTAAATGATGTTATACTGTATTCTGGAATCAAATCATTACATACAGAAACTTTACCAATATGATATTTAAATTTCAAAGAAATGCATCAAATGTAAAAACTTTAGTTTTACTATTAGTTGGTTGATTACGAAGACTAATAAAGAAAACGCTTACTTTTACGGCATTAACATCTTCCTGATGTTGAAGATATTTTTTCTCTGACGCGTCCAATCTTGCGGTGAGCGTCTTGATCAAATCATCTTTGACGTCCAGATCCTGGAGCATCTGCCGCATCGCGGCCTCGAAGTCTTTTTTCTCTTTCTGTGAAGAACTTATACTAGTATGAAGGCTTGGCTAACGTTGTGAATCGAAATTTCAGGGATGACCATTAACTGATAGTTCTTTCCAGATACAAAATATGACTACACAAAAATATTTAGAACATGCATCCGAATTTTAGAGAATATCGTCGACGATCATGGCTTAAGTTCGATCTTTCATTTGTTGTCGGTGAAGTCATTCTGAATGAATTTTCATCTAACCGGTTTCAATCTTCCGTTGATGAATCGTAAACGAATAATTTGTTTAGATTTCTTAACAATATCATTTTAAAAGGTAAATATATTGGTATATAAGTTTCAAATTGTTCAAAATTTTTGGATGAATTGGATTCAAATGGCATAATGTTTATATCTCAACCCTATGTAATCTACACATCAACAGCGCACATTTTACCGACTAAGTAAGGCGACAGTGAACGCACCTTATACCCCGACAATTCTTGCTCAACAAGTTTATTACGGGACGAAATCTCAGATGCCACGAGGTCAGAGCAATCGCAAGCGTCAGCGATGTCGCCTTGATTGCAGGCTTCCTTTGTTAAGGTTTTACACTCCTCCAATTCCGTCTGTTTAACGAACCAGATAATTAGTGAAAATTAAAATGTACACTAGTCACTGTATGAACGTAAACTACACGGTATTGTATATTCAATACAATTGAAATAGAACTCATAAATCGAAATAGAACTCACTAAAAAGAACTCCACGTCACTAAATAAATTTTAAAATGCTCAATCGCCAGATAAGAATCGTCGCTCTTACCTGCATTGATTGAATTTTTTGCGAAGCGGCGTGGTCGCTCTCGATCCATTTCTTCTTGACGTCGACCAGCTTAAGCGTAAGTTCATTGATTTGTTGGTCTTTTTTGTCCAAATCTTCAACGACATAACGGACAGTGTGTTCCATGTCACTCTTCATAACCTGGCGTGCCAATTGAGAAAATTTCAAAATTTGTGAGTAAATATCAAGATGATATTCTCCAAAATGCACTCCAGCCATACTCCGCGTCGTGGGCTTTTCCTTTACTTACACAACAGATTACTCTACCCAATTAAGGAATGTTTTATTCATCATTTAATATCAACAGGAATTTCTTTTTCAATTGCCCAAAAATTTATCTTATACAAATTAGCCCATCAAATCTGCTAAAACTGAAAGTAATGTCCGAGAATAGTTCCGGCTTTACATGAACGCTAGTTAATAGTTCTCGCCTCTACAGTTTTCCTTTCTATTTCGAGAAGCTTTTGAGTGTTGAGCTTCTCCTGAGCGACAGCTGCCGTGCAGTCTCCGCCGTCGCTAGGCTGCTGCCCTGCCGCTGCCAACTGCTGCAGCTGCTCCATCAGTTGCTGTACAAAATATACGGTATGCACGCACTGCTGATGAATGCAGTTATTATCTCGATGATATATTTACGAGAGAGAATAGATGTTCTCATAAGGAGCTTTATGAAATCGTCAGTGGAGCACGGAATTTCGTGTTAAATACTGAAGTAAAAAGGAATTACTTCACGATAATGTAATGATTATTGTATCTTAACGAATCAATTAGTGATGAAAAAATAAAATTATTACAGATATCACCTTAGAATAGAAAATGTAGCTGCGAAATGCCACAGGTGGTTAAAGAATCAGCATATGTTACACCAAATGAATGTCAAGCAGTCATTTAATCCGCCTGTCACTAGACAACCATTCATTACATTTGACATGCTACCATACTTGCACTTGCAGCATAAGCTATGAATCACGCTTGTTATTTGGAGAAGCGTAATAAACGATTGAAGATTAGAAAGATCCACCGTATTCAGAATGATAGTCGTAACTTTAAAGAAATAACACTTTTGTTGCGGGCTTCATAACAAATTCAAGTGGTCGGAAAAATTGATCAAAATCACAGATTATGATCAAAAATTAATTAGAATACAATTCGATTTTAAACCTAATCGAATGCACAATCAGACCTTCGGATAATATCGACTCACTGTTTTCTCGGCAAGAAGAGTATCACGTTGGTCGATGAGAACCCTCCTATCGATGACATCATCATAATCAGGTCGCGTTTCAATCCTGACTTTCTCCAATTCTTTTTGAACCTTGACGAGTTTTTCTTCTAGAACCTTCAACGAAAAATAAATGCCCATGTGAAGAGGTCAGCTGTTCAGAGAATTTGTTTTCACACTTTAAATATCAATCACATTTCTAAACAAGAAAATGCATTCATATCTAAATATATCGTTGTCTATCTAATTCTAATATCACTAAAATAATTAATATATAACGGTCACAACATTTTTCAACACAAAAGAGACGAACGTAATCGTCATACAGCTTTCGCTCTGTGCAAATATATCGAAATTGGTCAGTGGTAATCTATTAACACTCTGATCATATGAAAGAGACAAATTGTTTTGTAAGACATGGAATAGGCTAACGTGATCGTCATACAGCTTTCACATTGCGCAATTACATCGAAATTGGTCATTGGTTATCTATTAACACACGGATCATATGAAACAGACTCAACGTTTTTAAGACATTGAATAGGCTAACGTGATCGTCAATCGTCGTACAGCTTTCACACTGCCCAGTTGCTCCTTCTCCTTGAGGGCGATGTCCAAGCGCTGCTGAGCCTCGTCCCTCTCCGACACGAGCTTCTTCAGGGTCAGGGATGCGGAGGCGCCGCTCTGAACAAGTTAAATCATGTCAATAATGTTGTAATTGCATAGTTTCATGGCTCTGATTGAATCGAATGATGAGTGTTCTACATGTAATTCAGAGTAGTTTTCACATAGCTTGAATTTCAAATTTTAATAAAATACAATGACCAGGAATTTTGAAGACTAATCAATATGATGACGAACGTTAGCGAATCGTCTAATATCATTCATTTAGACAAATTTACATAGAAAAAAAGTATTTGTCGTACGCGATACAGCTATCTGGATCCCATGGAATTGAAATGAGGAATTATTTGCGAATACATCAATAAATACCATGGAAAAAACCCAAAAACAGTGTGTCGGTAATCCAGTTTAGGTTCGTGTTAGAAAATGGAGAGACAAACGGATAATCAGATTAAAGACTTACCTCGTGACATGAGCAGCCCTGCATCGGATCTAATCATCAACCGCTTTTTGGGGAAAAACATTATTTTAGTTTAAAGTAATCGTGACTGAAAGCAAGAAATAACTCCATAATACACAGAAAACGTGCATTGCAAATGACTCCGTAGTCAGTCTCAGAGGATAATTAGTGCTCTGAGTAATGGCAAGAAGACAAATTGAGCAAGACTCCAGCATCACAAGAAGAAACGTCAATTTCAAAATCGTCAATCCAACCTAATCGCTTAACGGTGAGGTGACCTTTAATGAGCAGAATAAATGAACTCGCTAAAGCACGAAATTTCTTTGCATCAATAAATTCTTTCTCATTGCTTGGCTAATGCATATTGCATAAACCATGTAACACTATGCACGTGACACAGAATTAAGTTCAACAAAATTTTCATCAAGACGCATGCTAAGGACATCTCAAAAATTTTTGAAACGTGTCATGTACACCATAAAAATCCTCAATATGTTTATTGCCTGAGTTACCGTTCTCCATCGTCGTGCGCAGTTCAATGATAAGTTTGGGGTTTATCAATCTTTAATTATGTAGCCATAAGTTGCTCATAAATCAGACTCAACTGGGGGAGCTGGTATGCACTAATATTATCGACATTGGACGGAAAGTATCGAGACTAACACTGATCGTAAGGATAATCAGCATCAAGTTACCGAGGGGCAGGAACAATAAGAGAAAATTCATAATGTATTGTCAACTGTGAAATTTGATCATCGAATAACTCGCTTTTTCTTAAATTAATGGCTAAATTTGACATAGGCAGCATAGACAGAATAAAAATCGGAACAAACAACTGGACAAAATCCCATAGAAAAATGACAGCTTGCAAAGACCTGGCAGGAGGCGAGAGGCTTGGAATGCAGCGCTAAAGTTAGTGAACTCACTATACTTAAGCAAATGGAATAAAATGCCTGAAGTAAAACAAAAGCACCTGCGAGGCGCGAGCAATCCACAATTCCCCTAAAGTCACTCCAACAAACACGTTGAATTTCAACAAGAAAACGACAAAAACTCGGCGGTTCAAACAAATTCTTAAATTTTCCGTGTGGCTGTGGGGCACACACAATTATTGAAGTTTCTAAGCAAATAAGTACCACAGAGTTGGCATGCCTAATGACTAAAATTTATACCTTGACACAAATTTTATACCCTAATACTAAACATCCTCAATTATCACATGCATCGATTATTTGGTCATTATTCCGCAAATTGATCCACAATCAATCCCAGTAAAATGTATTCAATCTGAATTTGTTTTGAGTACCTTTAAGAAATTAAATGCTCAATCAGATCAACAACGGGTCGGTAGACATTGCTTAAGAACATCATCAAAACTAACACACTTGGCAAGGAAAAATAACAAGCTATACTAGCATTAAAATGGATCTAATCTAATTCTAGAGCACAAGTGTTTCGTTCCGAAGTGATATTTCTTATAAGCCGGTCACTTCTAATCATCTTATAAGAGCTTTCCATTTTCGACAAAACTGACGGATCTAAGGCACTGCAAGATGGATTATCACTTATTCAAGACATCGAAATCGATCAATATATTATTGAACAAAGTTAAAATACGTACAAACAAAATTTTGAAATACATAATACAAGTTCAGCAGTGGTATGGAATATCAAGTTTCTTTTTAATACAATGAGAAAATTAAAACGAATATTTTTTTGCACCAATCATTACCACAGTTGCTTGGTAAATAAGTAGCATATGTTCGTTGAAGAAAAAATCTGTACACTGTACAGAATGACAGCACGAAAAAAAGAGAAAATCATTTTGAGCAATGCACCTCACATTTCTGATTTATAACTAACAAACTTTTAGTAATAATGGAAGATTTCAAGGCTTGACCAGCTAAACACGCGGTATTGCATAAAACAACCAAAAATAAGAGATATTTCATGTCTAATATTCAAGAACAAATTCTCGCCACGAAGCATGTGAAAACGTCAGATACAAAACACAAAATTTTATAGCAAGCATTGAATAGCCATGCAATAAACGATCTCGGACATTTTACGCAACTTGACATACAATTTACATTCTACAATAATGTAATTCGAACAAAAAGTTTCTCCTGAATATAAAATTGCTGCAGCACTGATTCCGACTGCTCTGCAACAAATGCTACAGTATTACGGGAGCTAATGCCACAACAGTCAACATTTCAGGTTACAACCCTGCAAACTTGGATGTTACAACATTGCAAAGTTGGATGTTACAACACTGCAAAGTTGGATGTTACAACACTGCAAAGTTGGGTGTTACAACACTGCAAAGTTGAATGTTACAACACTGCTACATTGGATGTCACAACAATATCACTTGTGCGTTGCAACAGCGGAGTTACAGCAGAATTGCGTTGTAACACAGACGTCGATGTGTAGCAGTCAAGAGTCCAGTTAGGTTGTCTTAGTTCAGACCTGTGATAAAAAGCACGTAACATTAAATAGGCAATATTAATACAAAACTCAGCACCTCTCAACATGAAGACACAAATGGAAAAGTTGCAAGTCCTCGCAATAAAGAAATACAGTATGCAACAACAAACCAAAATAGTCGTGTAACGTCAGAAATTTGAGTGTTAATTGAATTTGAATGTGAGTGAGCGGCTTTAGCGGATGGGGAGAGTGCAAAACTTGAATAGAAGAAGGAAAATGCAAAAATATGAGACAGGAAATAGCAAGTAAAATCACGACGTGCACATGAGAAGTACAATTGCTTTAAAAGTTCACTTTCTGTTGAAACAGAATAGAAAAATGAGTGAACAGAATGGCATAGGTGAGAAAACAGAAAATACAAAAAATTTTTATTCCTAAACTAAGAACAATTTTGATCAAAAGTAGTTGATTGAAGAACTTTTGATGGACCACTTCTTGCCCAACAGAGATCACTCGGTCATAAAAACGTATGAAATACAAACAGGTAATCTGAACAACGCTGAATCAATTTCCCATTACCGCACTTGCGTCCAAACTCAAGTAATAAACATGTAATTATGGCTTGTTTGCCATGACACACCAGTGCACAAAAGAGTATCATGTGTAGTACAAGATTTAAGAACACTTTCAAATTAAACCGCACATGGTATATAATTAGTAAGCTATTTTATAATTCTCAATAAAATCCTGTGCGACTTTCTTGAAACGTTTCTGGAATCAATCAAACAATAACTGTCACAATAAACCGAGCTTAATTTCTTCCGTTATGTGCACGAGCTTCTGCGTAACACAAATTCTTCTTATTTTCACTTATAGAAGGAACTTAATAGTCTACTTATATGGAGAAAATAACAGCAATGTGTTAAAAGGCTCGCTCAGAAGTGCCAGACAAAATCAATGTGATTTCACAAAAAATAAAAAAAATAAAAACGCACAAGTTTGCAATGAACTTACCTTTTTTGCATCTTCAAGTTGCTTGATTTTAGCACTGAGTTCTTCTATTTTTTTATCCTGCCCCTTTGCTTTTGCGAGAAGCATTTCATTATTCTTCTCAGACTGGGCGAACTTGGCTAAGGTTTGCTTAAGTTCTTCAGTCAATTTCTTTTCATTCTCTGCAGCAGCAATCGTGTTCACAGAGCCTTGTTCAATCACAACCTCAAGATCAGAAACTTTCTTCAACAGTTGCTGCTTCTCACTCTGAAATAAATGCAGTTGTAAAAAAATGGGTACAAATCACTATAGGTCACGAAGAAATGACACATTGAATTATAATATATAATGTAAAAAAAGAAACCTAAACCTTCAAGAGGAACGTGAAAAAATGGCACACAACTGATATAAAATGCTTTTTTGAAAGTATTGACCATATTTTCTGATAAAATTGTGAGAAATAATGTATGTCAATGCGTTCTGAGTAGAGGGATATGAGAAGCAGATAAACTCGGTAACAATATAAAATAAATCTACCATGATAGACGCTGGTAAACTTCTTGCTGTAAAAATATTCCCATGTGACAGAATAAAATTAATATACAAGACATTTTAATATACTAAGTATTCCAATGCGACAGAGAAGCCTAAATTCTGAAAATGGTACATTTCAAGATTACCATCACTATTAAAATTTCATGCATTAGAATACTAACCGTCATAATAATTTGGATTTATCCAATAAATAAAAAATTTGTCTGTAAATTAAACTGGTCGTAAAATATATATCTGATTTTAAAACTAGGCAATTTAGATGAATATTAAGAATTCAAAGATGAAATAATCAAACCTCCAATGCCTGCACAACAGCAGAAGATTGTGGGCCTTTCTCTTCCTCCAATTTCCTTATTCTTTCTGCTGCCTGAAAATAAACACACGTGAATATGACAACAGCTAACATTTTAAACTAACATCAAAGTTCTTAATACCACTTAAATTCACATTAATAAGTTATGATTCTACAAATCCCTCACTGCCACGTGCTTCTACATGAATTACATTTTGGGCAGGAAACACAACAAGATTAAATTAAAAGTCACAAGACAAGCTGAGTCTCGAGTAGCCTGCCCCAGGAAATAAAGCTGCAACAGGTGCTATGTAACACAAGAGTGGTCATTAAAAATACAAGCCCTATCCCATCACAAAAAGGTACCAAGTACTTACTATGACAGCCTAATTACCATTATGAGTGGTGTTCATTATTCACAGTTACTTACCTCCAGCTCTTGAATTTTCTGTTCAAGCACAAGCACTTTCTGCTTGGCAGATTTAGCTTCTTGAGAGGCCCGATCAAGATCTCGCTGCAAGTCAAGCTTTTTACTCAACTGAACCTGCAGATCTTGTGCCTGCTGCCGGCTGGTTGCCAGGTTCGTCTGAAAAAAGCAGGTTGTTAATATTCAAATGAAAAGAGAGGAGTTATGAGAGTAAAAATGAGATTGACAAGATAAACAGCAGTAATAAAACAAATATTTGCCAAAAATGTTGAGGTATAAGAAGTTTTGTTTTGTTTTAATTTGATGGATGGCACTTAAAATAAGAAGTTTATTAGCTAGTTGATTTGTAGGAGAATGGCGAAGTGTTGCGACATTGATTTGAAGGCTTGATATATACAGAAGTGACCAAAACAACATGATTAACTAAGGTTCATTTTACTGCAACTATAGCTCAATTTTTATTCCCTAAAAATAGTTTGAATTTAATGCATGGAAAGTGCCCTTAATTTGTTATTTAATGCATGAAAGTTCATCTCTTTGGTCCAGCCTGACATTAAAGTTGTCTGCCACATTAATATTTTGGCATTATTGCTAGCTTTCGTGCCACTTTATGTATCCTACTCATTAATCTCATATTGATAACCTGACATGGCCGAGTTGGGTAGGCCATTATTTCCTTTCTAATTTAATTGCATGGATTAACTCCTTTATTCCTCTTAACAGCTTTCATGTCACTTCTAAAGCACATCTACCAGCAATAATTTAAAAGGAAAGAAATAGAAATATTTATATTGCTTTCAAGAAATTGACATTTATCTTGAACTGATTGAATTAACTGAAATAGGCCTATAATTAGCAGATACTTGAAATCTCAAATCAGTTTCTTTGTTAATTTTCAGTACAAACTCCATAATTCACACCTTATCTTGCCCACTATGTAAGTGTAACGTGTATGCCAGTGCCAGCTCTACAGCATATTTCTGCTGTGAATACAGTCTAGTTATAGGAAGGTTAGCATGGGAATATGATCTCTTTCAAATTTTGCACTGCTATAAATTGAAATCATTGAATATAATTGTTCATTTGAATATACCCTTACTGGTCTTAAGCACAGAGTCCCTTAGGTAAGCTCACTTTTCTCTTGTCTAAGTTTGCTTTATTGGAGAATTCCCTGCATTTCCAATTCATCACCATACTTCTCCCTTGGAGACAGGAATCGTCTCATGGCGTTCCAATAACATTTTTTTTTCAACTTATATATGTATTGATTTCCTAACAGAAAATAATTTCTTTGTAACTGGTTTTAAACGAATATTGTTAGCAATACATTGAACAAGTATTGATAACTCACATTAAGGGTACAATTTTTTATTCTTTTATGTGGCAGAAAAAATTGATGCAAGTTTAATCAATTAATTTAGAACAAAATTGTTACCTGAAGCTGGTTGAGTTCTGTCTGTAGGTTTGTAAATGCTTGAGAAGCCTCTTGCTTCTGTGTAGTGGCATCCAACAATTCCCTCTGACTGGAAAATTAATCATAGTGATCACACATTTATAAAGCAATTAGAAATACAACTGTCAGAAAAATCTGGACCAGTAAATCAGTGCCTAATTTCCGTTTTAAATTAAAATAAAAATGTGTAACATCCTTGATTATCTATACATATAATGTGTAAGAAGTTCATAAAATATGTAATTATATATTTCAGGTGGTTAGCTTTAAGAAACTGCATACGGTATATTGCCTGCTATTGTAAACAATATTGAATATTGTATGCCATGTTAAATTTTAATTCAAAATATATTTGAGATTAACTTGTTTGGATTATAGGCAAATAAATAATATACGTATGTGTTGAAAAATGTAATGAAAATTTTCTATTTATTTCTACAGCTTATTACGAAACTAACACAATTTCCAGCTTGAGTGAAGCATCATCCGCATCAGTCCTGAGCTGATGCACTGAGGCCAGCAGGGCCAGCAACACCACCAGCACTGACACCTTGAGACCAGCACCCAGCAGCCAGCAGAGGCCACTCAGCAGGCATCCTGATCAAAATCAAATGTTAACATCTGTGCTTTGCCACTGGCATCGTTCTACCATCCACGCAAGAACAGCACATGAAGAATTGTATGTGATTAAATTTTTTCAATTTGAGGGGAGCATGGACCAGTACATAAAAAAATTTTGTATTTAGGGACTGATCATTTTGAAACTTGATACACATGTATAAAATAGACATCAATAATTTTTTGTTCATGTAATTTTTTTTAAATTGAAGAAAACATGAAATTCATAGAAATTGGCAAAAAATGGGTAATGTGAAATCTATCTCCAAATTTAATTAGCATGGTACAACATCAAGAGACACATCACTTGATTTGTAATGACTACCTACCGTATATCTAGAAATCATCTGATCACTTTATAAAATTTTAAAAATATTTTCTTTGGTGATTTTTCTGATTTCTTCAATTTTGGCTCCTTCCCTCCCCCATTTTATTAATAAATAATCTAAATAAAAAATAAATCAGAAAAAGTGACCAGATGTACCCTAGATCAGGTCTTTACAAAACAAATGGTGTATCCTTCAAAGCTGTAGCTTGAAAATCATAGGAGGAGATTAGTTTTTAAGATGAAAATTCCAAGTTTTAAGGAGAGCCAAAAAACTGATATTTGTGATCAGTTAAGGTATAGGTTTTACTTGCTCTTTGATGGTTGTGAACAAACAAATGAACATACAAACATGGCTTTTGGACCTTTAAAATGAGCCTAGAAACCTGAAAAGTAAAAATTTTTCATTTATGACATACATACATGCTCTCCTCAACTAAACAATAGATTATTAATAATGAACAAAAATTTTCTAAACATTGATTATACTGTAGCATTAACCAAATCTTTTTCACAAGAAAAAACATGCTTGCTCAAAGAAGTATTTCCAATTTTAATAATGAATTCCAGAAGAAGTTATTGAAATTTTGGAAAGAACAGCACTCTCTTTAGGATTCAATTTCATGAGTAAATATGTTTAGGAATAGATCAATTTCACTACACAAGTGCACATGGTGGAATAGTTAGTGACGAGCAGCAGGTGAACACTTGTGGTGCACAACACCTGTTTTCACATCCTCAGCATGACACTTGATCCAAGACCCTGAAAATAACCTCCTAACTATTGGTAATAACCAATAGTGACAGAATAGGTTATTCCTCCTATTACTCTATAGGTAATTACTGTTAGTGGTGCTGTGGAAATTAATATCATAGGAGCCTTAGGAGATGAAATTAAACATAGGTTAAATCTTGTGGAGATTTAAGGGAAACTTGAAGGTTAAAGGACATACAAATTCAGCATAGACCTTGTTTACACATAAAAATATTTATATCACCCATATACAAATAAGTACAACAATATACAGTGTGCTACATGATAGTGTGCTATATCAATATACAAATAAGTGAGCTATAACCTATACTGCAATAAAATTATGAATATCTTGAAATACTTATAGCAATCATAATGAAGATTATAATACCAAATACAGAAAGCATACTTTTACTTTGAGAAGCAGCATTAAATTTTTTATTTAAAAATTACCAACCTTGTACTTTGTACACAATAGACATCATACATTTATTTTTAGTCAACAAAACCTGAGGATTAGTCTCAGCTACTCAAATCATTATATACATACATAGTAGAAAATATCTAATGTATTATGTGACAAGGTCATTTTATTCTTGGGGAAAAAAGATGGGCCTCATCATCACCTGATCTATGAGTCAGTCTTGATATACAAGCAAGCCCCTTCTTCAGAAACAATAAATAATCCCCAGTCATGAAATTTGAGTCATGAAGAAATATTTGAACAAGTTATTTAAAAATATATATATGCAAAGTATAGGTTAAAAACTCAGATTTGATCAATCAGTCTAATTCCCTTCCAACTACAGGCATGGAGTGCCTCTTATCAAGCATTTGAAACCTCCAGAATGTATTCAGTGAAAGCCTGTGGTGCTCTCACAGATTTTAGATTTGATATATTGACTTGGTGATAGAACAAAGTCTGATTAGTAGATCAATTATCTGGATAGGTGATCAATTGGCTGGATTGGTAATCAATCACATGGATAGCTGATCAATCATCTGGATAGTGATCAATCATCAGAAAAAGTGATCAATAATTTATAGGTAATCAATTATCTGGATAGGTGATCCTTATTCGGAAAAGGTGATCAGCATTCTGAAAAGATTGATCAACATTCTGTATAGGTGATCAATCATCTGCAGGGTGTTCAATCATATGGATATGTGATCAACCATATGGATAGGACATCAGTCATCTGAATAGGTGATTGATCAATCATCTTGTTAGATGATCAGTCCATCACCTGGATAGTAGATCAATCAATCATCTGGATAGGGGTAAATGGCTTATCTCTTTCAAGTTAATTGCTACAAAGTTCAGTAAAACTCACCTTTGCTCTTTTCAGTATGAGATGAAGTCATGTTTTCTTCTTCAGTTAAATTTGGGATGTGCACCTACAATATTTTTCACAGCTGTCTATAATATAATCTCAGAAAAGTATCACAACAAACTGAAATGTAAACAATTATCATATTGGTCAAAGTTTCCTAAAACTGCTGGGAGATACCAACATTTTCCAAGTGATTTTTAAATAAAACAAATAAAAAACTTTTAAAAACCACATTTTCTTAACAAACAAAAAAGAAAAACATTTACTCTTACATAACATTTAAGTTATGTAAAATGTTATGTAATGTTATGTAAGAGTAAAGGTTTTTCTTTTTTTCCATTAAGAAAACGTGTTTTTAACACATTGACTACAAAGTGGTACATATGCATACCACGAAATGTATTTCTCCAGGACGTATTGGTACTGTAATTCAGGTTGCCTAAAATTGGCCAAATCCAAGAAAAAAAGGCCAAAAAAGGCCCATAACTCAAAATAAACTAGTTCATTTGTAAGTTCCACTATAAAAATTCCATTCATTTTATTTTTGCAGTATTTAAAATTTAATTAGGAAGTACCCCTATCATAAATTTTAGCCGGCAAACGCACCTGAGAAAAACTAAATCACAGAATTTGTCTGGAAAAAATTACTGTTTGGCAACCCTGTTTAAAAACATTACAAATAATGAAATAATAGTACAAGATGAAGCAATTGTAGTCAACGTGTTAGAAGTTTTTTTTATTTGTTTTATTTCACTATTTTTAGTTTTGTAAAAACCAAAAAAACATGCTTTTTAAAAATATTTTTATATTTATTTATTTTCTACTTTTTAGTTAGCAATTTTAGCAATTCAAATCAATTTCCAGGGTTGGCAAGTGCAGATATTCAAGAAAAAAACTCAATTCCAAACTGTGAATTTTTAGTGTTTTCTTTTCTTAAATTTTTTGCTCAAAAAAAATTCTTAATTATTATTTCTGATCATCAAATCTTGAATTGTTAGGCATTATGAGCATGCATGCCAAATTTCAACTTACTAAGATGTTTAGAAGTGCTCTAAATTAAGGTTTGAATTTTTGATGACAGACAGACAAGAAACAAAGTCAAGAATAAAACAAATAAAAAACTTTTAAAAACCACGTTTTCTTAACGAACAAAAAAGAAAAACATTTACTCATATATAACATTTAAGTTATGTAAAATGTTATGAAATGTTATGTAAGAGTAAATGTTTTTCTTTTTGTCCGTTAAGAAAACGTGGTTTTTAAAAGTTTTTTTGTTTTATTTCCTTATTTTTAGTTTTGTAAAAACCAGAAAAACGTGGTTTTTAAAAATATTTTTTATATTTATTTATTTTTACTTTTTAGTTAGCAATTTTAGCAATTCAAATCAATTTACAGGGTTGGCAAGTGTGGATGTTTGAGAAAAAACTTGATTCCAAACCGTGAATTTTTAGTGTTTTTTTTAAATATATATATATATTTTTTCAAAATTATTATTTCTGATGATCAAATCTTGAATTGTTAGGCAGCATAAACATGCATGCCAAATTTCAACTTACTAGGATGTTTAGAAGTGCTCTAAATTAAGGTTTGAATTTTTGATGAGACACACACGAAACGAAGTCAAGAAAAACGTGGTAAAAAGAAAAAACGTTGTAAAAAGAAAAACGTGATAAAATCCTAGGTTAAAATAGATATTACTTCTTATTTTTTCCCAGGTGAAAATAAGCAGTTCTTCTTATTTTTACTCGAGAGATTTGGAGAAGGTCATACAAATGAATAAAACAAATAAAAAACTTTTGAAAACCACATTTTCTTAACAGACAAAAAAACATTTACTCTTACATAACATTAAAGTTATGTAAAATGTTATGTAATGTTATGTGAGAGTAAATGTTTTTCTATTTTGTCCATTAAGAAAACATGGTTCTTAAAGTTTTTTTTATTTGTTTTATTTCATCATTTTTAGTTTTGTAAAAACCAGAAAACATGGTTTTTAAAAAAACGTTTTTTTCTATATTTATTTACTTTCTACTTTTTTGTTTAGCAATTTTAGCAATTCAAATCAATTTCTAGGGTTGGCAAGTCTGGATGTTTGACAAAAAACTCAATTCCCAACCATGAAATTGTAATTTTTCACTTTTTTATTTTTTTTATTTAAATATTTTTTTTACTTGTTACTTCTGATGATCAAACCTTGAATTGTTAGCGTTAGGCAGTATAACTGTATAAGCATGCATGCCAAATTTCAAGTTTCTAGGATGTTCAGAAAAGCTCTAAATTAAAGTCTGAATTTTTGATGACAGACAGGCTGACAGACAGACACGAAAAAAGATAAGAAAAACGTGGTAATAAAATAAGCCTACAGCAATCCCTTGATTAACGCGGTTAATAAATCCCCGAGTTTTACCGTGTTAAGCAAAACCGCGCTAATCAAACCTAAGAATATATGGGAATAATTATAATGAATCCTCAAAAATAGCAAAGGAAAGGAAAATTATGTAGTTTGATAAAAGTGAGCAGTAGATATGACAGCGATCTTGACCAGTTGAAGGCTAACGAGTAACTAGCCCTTTACGCACTGAATTATGTTTCGAAAGTGAAAAAACAATCTGAATTACTCTTCAGTCTTCAGATCACGCGCAGTCTTTGTGTTGTACTGGCAGTAGCAACGCGCCTACTCCATCGAAAGTCGTTCGAACGAGTTCACAACATGTGACGCTACCGTCACACTCGCGGCTAGACTCCAAACATGTAATTACTCGCGGTAGAAGCTTTTATTTTCTGTGTGACGAATTTGTCACACCAGGGCTTAAAGGGCTAGCTAGAGCACCGGCATGGAGCACTTACCGGCGAACGTTGCCGAACTCTATCATTCGAGTTATGAACGAGACAAGCCGCGGTTAAACCGACTCAGTAGTCAGCACGAATGCCTACGGAACGGGACCTTATTTAAAGAATTATTGGCTGAAATTCATAAAGTAACAACATTTGGCGAATTTTTCCAAAAGTCATAACAAAAGTAACAACATAAGATCTAATAAGCAAAAAGTTACACTTTTGTTATGAACGTAACACCTCTGGCTAGAGGCGGGAAAATGATGCGTTGTGAAAAAAAGTTGCGCTAATCAAAACTGGCACCGCGTAAATTAAGGGTAGGTCGCAAATTTTTTTTCCGCGTTAATCAAAACCGCGGTATTCAAAACCGTGCTAATCAAGGGATTGCTCTAATTTACAGGCATTTTTGTCTAATTCATGGGCACAAGTGGAAAAAACGCGACTTCAGATGGATTAGTTCGCCTGTTAATGAATTCCGTAGAGGGCTTAGGCTGCGAAAAATTGGCACTAGTTCCGCAAGATGCACAAAATTGATAATGAATTCAAGACGAATTCCGCAGTGCAATCAGCAAAGCGAAATCCGCGCAAAGTTTGAAGCCAAGAAGAAAATACGGAAGCCAGACGCACGATCGAACAGAAGCTACTGGACCAGGAGCAACGTTCATGTTCGTCGACCCACTCAACCGTCGTATTGCTCTAGAGCGCGCAATTCAGTATTGATCATTGGGCATCGGCTATATAGATCGTAAAGCACGTGTGTTTGTGACGATCGCCAGGCATCAATCGTAAAGTACATGTGCCTGTGTCGATCATGCAGCATTGGTGAGGGTTACACTTCTGTTTTTAGCAAGCATATTGGCAACTTTCTTTCCTGGCGTACTGGCGTACATCCGAAAACGAACCTCCAGCGTACACGCTGCACCTTCCTGACCATGGGGTAGTGTACGTATTTTAAGCCTTTAAGAAGTTCAGTTTTTGCCTCAAATAACGATGTTGGGTAGAAAAAGTGGTCTTGGTGGATCGAAATAATATATGAACCTTCGAAATTAGAATTCCATCCTGGATGGATGCAGTAATTCAGTACACTAAAACAATTTAGGTGTTTATTTTCTATGCTCAAGGATTAAGGCAACATAATGAGTAATCTTTTTTTAGACAAAATTGAGATGTTAGTTGTTTAAATGATTAATCGTGAAAACATAGCAATTCCGTGAGAATGTTCAAGATCTCTTACAAAATCCGTGCAATGGCGGTTCGGTGTAATTCCGTGAGAATTTTGAAAAGCAGTACTCCTGATCATTACCTTAAATTTCCAATCAGATTTCATGGGTAGCTTCTTTCCAATTTTTCAATTATGGTGACAGTTGGCTTGAAGCAATTAAAGCTAAAACATAACTTAAAGATAAGCAGATTAAAGAAATTTGTATGTAATGAAGTAAATTCAATCTACAGTAACAGTATGAAATAATGTTATTGAAATAACAAAGATTAAATTGAACACTTGGAAAATTGTTTTACCTACATCACTACATGGGCTGGACCACTGGAACTGGAACATAATGGCTATTGACTAAGCAGAAATTTTTGTAACAATAAATAAAGACATTAAGATATTTCTTATTTAATTAAATATAAACAAGATTATTTCATTAAAAATCAATGATTTTCAAAATTTCTTTATTAGGCCTATTTAGCTGTAGTCTGTCTTGAAAAATTCTAAAAAAATGCTCTGGTGGTACTTTAAAGTTTAAACCACAGTACTAATTACATAATAAACATGCGAGTCAAAACAACTTTAATATTTCTGATTTTATTGCTTCATGAAAGTAGTACATCTCTTTCCCAGACTCAGACTGTAAACTTGCTGCACGAGTCTGAAAGAGGGGCCAAAAATCTGGCTAGTTGCAGTATGGAATAGATACCAACCTATGATTTAGATTATTAATGGTATCGTACAACTTCGAATAAACAACGTGTCAGCGGCTGAAAACGACTTAGCAAATAGCAAGTGAATTCGAATTTAAAAGCAGGCATAAATCCATCGCACATTCGTAATCTTGTCGGTGTAGTGGTACTATACCGTGTTATGTGTACGAAATTCGTACACATAAGATGATAAGTGACATAACACGGTACAGTACTACAGTAGTACCTGGACGACAAGAAATCACAGCATGCCTCCGATTGCCTCGACAGCGGCATTCGAGTTACGAGTCGAGTACGACTCCGACAAGTGTCACCTAAATTTGCCCCAAAAATAATTTTTACCCCAGCTATGAAAAAAATCTATATATAAATGAAAAAGTTATTTGAGCTATGATGGCATATGGCTCCGATTTTGA